GGTGGGGGCGGAGGAAAGACTCGCTGTCCTGCCCCAGGCCACCCGGCAAGACAGTTCGGGTTGTGCCAGGGCCAGCTCCCTGGCCAGGGTCCCCATGTCTCCCCTGCCCGCCTCTCTGGTAGGCTCCGAGATGATCGAGACCCAGGAGGACATTTACGTGGGCTCCATTGAGACAGACCGGGGGGTGCGCGAGCAGGTGCGCTTCTACGACACGCGGGGCCTGCGGGACGGCCTGGAGCTTCCGAAGCATTGCTTCTCCTGCACGGACGGCTACGTGCTGGTCTATAGCACTGACAGCAAGGAGTCCTTCAAGCGGGTGGAGCTCCTCAAGAAGGAGATTGACAAGTCCAAAGACAAGAAGGAGGTGAGTACCCCAGGGGAAAGGGGCTGCAAAGTGGGATCTGCGCCCCGTGTTCAGGTTCTCACCCAGAGACTCTGCTTTTCTCTAGCTTGTCACAAGATGGTAACAGGGGTCCCTGTTCCGTAAGACTCTCAATTGTAATGGTGCTTTCTGAACATACAAGAGCTCAACAGGCCCTTCCACTTCGGAGCTGGTTTGAGACACACAGACCCGAATAGGCGGGGAGGCTGCCAGAAAGGAGCGCTGGGAAATGTGGTGTTTTAGAAGGCCTTAGCACGGAGGGGGAATTAGCTGCAGGACTGGGCCTGGCACCGAGGTTCTTCAAGGCAGAGCCAGGCAGCACCATTCAGTTCTGCATTTAGTACCTTCAGGGATTCCTCTCACCCTTTTTTGAACAGGTTACCATCGTGGTTTTGGGCAACAAGAGCGACCTGCAGGAGCAGCGCCGGGTGGACCATGACGCAGCCCAGCACTGGGCCAAGGGCGAGAAGGTGAAGCTGTGGGAGGTGTCCGTGGCTGACCGGCGTACGCTGATCGAGCCGTTCATCTACCTGGCCAGTAAGATGACGCAGCCACAAAGCAAGTCTGCTTTTCCCCTGAGTCGCAAGAACAAGGGCAGCGGATCCATGGATGGCTGAGCCTTGTTTTCCCTTCCCTTCCATTGCCACCTCCTCTTCCTCACCTCTCTATTTCCCTTGCACATACCTCCTGCTGAGCCTGTTTGGTGTCGCGAAGCCTGCGGGAAGCACGGTGGCACAAGGAACGGGCGTCCCAGGGCTGGGGATGGTCTTTGGGGATGAGAGAGGTGACCCATCTCCCTGCACTGGGACAGGGACCGCTCTTTTCACTGCCCAGCCCCTGCAGATGTTGGAGGTGCTACAGGAAAGCCAGGATTCACCGAGTGAGGCCCCTCTGCTCCTGGGGCGCAGGCCGGCAGACCCGAGGGCCGTAGGCTGCTAGAGGGGAGGTGCAGCATGGGGCTGGCCAGCAGGTGGGGATCAGCTCCACGGCTGAGCACAGCCAGGCCAGAGGAAACAATTCCCTCTCTTTTGAGCTGCTCCATTTTATATTTACTGATACCATGTAAGAAAAGCCCATTTGCTGGCCCTGCCTCCAGCCCAGGGGCTGTCAGAGCAGCTCTTCCTTGTCCTACCCCATCTGGCTCTGCAGTGCTGCAGTGTTCCCCGGCAGATTGCCCCTTACCTGGCAGTGCCCGCTGCTCCTTTACATGCAGAAATATTCAGTCATCCTGCCCCAGTGCATGCATGGTGCGGAGCAGGGCAAGATGCCGTTATTGAGGGCAGGGTGCCCACATCCACCACACTGCAGCCCTCCTCTTACCGAGTGCAGAGTCAGTCATGACCTTGGACTGGGCTTAGCCTGCACACCCTGATGCGTAGGGCTGTGGCAGCTCTCGCTGCCCATCTGTCACAGTGCTGACTCTCCTCTCAGAACCACCACAAGACAAGGGAAAGGAGTCCCGGTCCTGCCCAGCAACATGTGTTCCCTTCCGTTAGTCTGGATCTAGGGGAGGAAAAAAAAAAAAAAAAGACGAGAAAGCCCTGGCTTGTTTATACTTTTTCCTTTTATTTACTGAGTAACACAATAAAGCGATGAGATTCGATTATCAAAATATTTTCCTTTTTTTTTTTCCCAACAGTTATAGTACATCAAAAAAAATATACAATGAACATTACAGGAGGGGTACTGGCCAAGTCCCTAGAGTCTGTTTATTCCATTTTTGTGGGGATTTTTGTGGGTTTTTTTGGATCAAACTGTTCACATCACTCCAAGGTTATTTACAGAGGGGCACACACACATTATTGAGCGCTATGGACTATGCCCTACTACCTAGTACAGCATATGCTAAGTCAAAGGCAGTAAATGCTTTGGATAGCACAGGAGCAGGGAGAGTTTCTGGAGGCGGGGGGATGCGATAGAGGGAGTGTGTTCTTGCGCAGCTCGTTGCAGTATTATTGTTATTAGAAGGAATGGCTTTCAAGGGGTTAAAGTGCCAAGTGTAGGAGTGTATTAGGACTCCACTGGTGGAGGGGTGACGGGAGCAGCCACTGCTGGCTCCAGCACAGGCTTTTTAGAACAAAATGCAGGGGAACGACCCACCAGTGCCAAGTGGCTCCTGCAGGCTGGAGCATGGCCGCAGCCGGCTGCTCCCGGCTCCCCAGGCTCCTGAGGCTGGTCGGCACATTGCAGGAGGGGACACGCTGCCCTTCTCTGCTGTGGCCAGGGCTGGGAGTGACGGGCGAGGCGGCCTGGGGAAGAGCACAGTGAGATGAGCAGAGGGAGGGCTGGAGCCGGGCTGACCATGGGCTGCTTGGCACTGCAACGCTGTTGGAGCTGTGTCCCTCCTGTCGCCCGCGGGCCCCAGCCAGCGCAGGCTCCTGTCCTGTGGGACGTGAGGTCCAGACTGCACGTGTCCCCTGGGCTGTGGGATCATCTCCCTGTCCAAGCCATTGCTGGGAGCCTTCCTTTCCTTGGCTGCTCACCGAGCCATGTCTCCCACCACCACAGCCTTTCGGTTGTCTCTACCCCCAGCCTTCCGTACAAGCTCGCTCTTCTCCTGGTGCCCTCTCTCCACTTCCCTCCTTCCCTGGGGTGGAGAGGAGATGCCCTGGGCAGATGAACCCGTACCCAGGGGCTCCCTTGCAGTCCTGTCCTCTGCAGCAGGAGCACAGCAGCAGCACCGCAGGTCAGCGCTGCCCATGGTGTGAGAAACGGGCCCTCCAGACACAGGCGTATGGCTCCGTGCCGTCCCGCTCCCTCTGTGCAGGTTTCCTGCCCTCATCCAAGGCTCCAGCTCTTGCCGCCAGCTCTGGGAAGCAGAAGCATTTCAGCTGCGTGAGTTGCCTGTTGGCCGGTTCCCATTCACCTCCCACTGCAAGGACCCTGTCCTGAGCATCGGTGGAGCGTGCTGGGTAAAATCCTCCTGAAATCCAGGCGTTGCTTATGGCCAAGACATCGGATATGTGTACTTGTGCGTGTGGATTCCCAGGTGCATAAACCGACCTGCCTCTTCCCAAGGGCTGGGAGGGAACGTGGGCCACAGCAGAGGCCTCTGAGCCAGCACCCTGGGCCAGGGCACGGGACGCGAATCGTCTGCACAGAGCTAAGTGTTGCGTTGTTTTTTTCTGCTCCGACCACCACTCCTGGCTGTACAGACAGCATGAGCACCAAAGTAAAACGCAGACAGCAAGTGCGGCGGGCGAGCTGCTCCTCCTGGATTGCATAGATCGGGGTGGGTTGTCACTCCAGCGTAAGGTCCATTTGGGTTGCAACTTTCCTGCATATTTCTATTTACAGCAGCGCGCTGGGAACCCAGAGCGCCGTGGTTACAGTTTTCAGACCAGGTTATCGCTGGGCTTTCTGAGCACAGTGAAAAGCAGAGCTACGGCTTCAGGGTCCCTCCAGAGTCCGGCTTTCCGCAGGCTACGACGGGAGCATCACAGGGAGAGCGCCGGGCATAGGCTGCGAGTGCTGCCTGCTCCTTCGTACCTGATTGTCCGGGCTGCCGGGGACGCCTTTGTTTTTGGGAGTCATCGGTAACTCCTTGGAAGCTCCTAATGGGTATGGGGTTGGACGGCCGAGCGGCAGCTGGCCAGCAGGCGAGCAGCAGCATTGCCTTTCACTGGAGAACCGAAAAGTGCTTTAGGGACATTCACTCAGCCTCACAGCATCTCCCGGGAGGTAGGGGCAGGGCTGTCCCCTGCGGGTGGGACAGAGGCAAACAGCCGGCGCCAAGCACAGGGTCACCTCCTTGGGGAGCCCGCACTGGGCAGCCCGGCTCTCCCGCCCTCGCTGGGCTGGAGCAGAGCCCGTCTCCGGCCGCATGCCCAAGTTGTGTGCTTCTCAGGGGCCAGGGCAGGGGCAGTGTGCTTTCGGAGGGAGGATGCACCGGCCCTGGGTTTCGGCTATTGCTCTCGGACTGAAGATACGGTCAGTGTGGCCGGTGCCCGCCGCGGTGGGGGCTCTTTGGCTGGTGGGACATAGGGGGTTGTGGGTGTAGGGGGCAGAGTCTTTTCTAAGCACCCCAAGGAAGTTTCGCAGGGCTGGCGAGGGCACAGCCAGCCTGGTCCAAGAGGGGAACCTCCAACTTTCCACTTGTGCTGGGGTCGTTTCTCCCAGTACGAGCTGGGCTGAGACTCCCCTCGCAGTTCCCTTCCCATTGGGCTA